CGCGCTGCTGGAGGAGGGGGAACTCGTCGTCAGGAACCCCGCCACCGGGTTCCTCGCCGGGGACGGCTTCATCAACACGGATAGCTCCACCACCGCGGACGGGTGCGGGCTCGCACGGACTGTGATGATCCCGTTCGCCCGTCGCGTCGACCCGTTCAGGGCGGGCGAAGACGCGTTGGCCGTGCCGGCCCTGGCGTGGATGGGAACCGCTAGGGTCTGAACGATTTCTAGCTTCGAGCTGCGATCCACACGGAGGAAGAGGGGATGCGCGTTTCTCGAGAAGCGTATGTCCACCTCAGTTTTGGTCCGCACATGGATATTTCGAAGCTCAATGACCTGCCGTCCGTCATCGCGCAGATATTCCTTCGCCTCCTTTTGCACTTCGACATCAAACGAAACAGCAGTGATGAGCTGCTTCGTGAACTTCGCGTCGCTCAGGTCAATTTCGGTCACCGTTACCCCCGGCTTGGGGGTTTTATACCGAAGATCCGCGACGACACAGCGTAGGAAAAAGTTCGCCACCTGTGGCGGACTGGTGAGATCGGCTACGTGGACGAGCGCCTCCCCATCAGACGCTCCAGGATTGTTCTCCTGAAGCCTAGGAATGGGACTTGAGTCGAGCGCCGCCGCCGCGGGCACTTGCCTCTTGGCGAAGGCCTTTAAATTCTCCACCGTCAGCGACGCGCAGCCGGTTGGGTAGGCTGGCATGCTGCTTTGGACTGGATTGCCTAAGAGGGTGTGGTTACGATCGTGGTTCAAGGGGCAGTCGTTAAGAAATTTGTTTATCTCAACCTCAAAAGAAATCTGAATTTCTTTGCTACTTTCCTCGTCATCGCCATATCTGTGAATGTCATTTGAGACGTTATTATTACCTTTTATGCACTGACTCCCCAAGGCATCATCGCCAATAGAGCTCCACCATTTGTGTAAAAGATGGCTAAAGTACGCGGTGTCTACCACAACACGGTCGCCGGCATTGTCGCCTGTATCGGACGAGTTGTTTGCCCGATCGGTGTTCGTGGTGGGCTCACGATAGAAAACTGTAAAGTCTGCGGGCGGAATTTCCATAAACTTGAGCTTGCGCTCAACAAGATCGCTCAAGTCTTGGTAGGACCTCTCGTCGGGATCCATGCAAAGTACGTAGTCACGAAAGATGCGGACATCCGAGACCAACAGCAGCTTTACGAATACTAGGCGTATCGATATCTTTAGATACTTCATTGAAGCACAAGTCTTTATTAATCGGTTTACTTGAATGTGTGATTTATGTTATCTAGTCTCTTTGTATCTTATTCTATGGTTATTAATATAATTATGTGAATCTATTAACGAAAGTAGAACAAAAAACGGTGCCTCAAAGAAAGGGGGGTATTTGTTCTAGTTTACTTTGGTGAAATGGTAGGGAAGATGGACATGAAAAGAAAGGTTAGGAAATGAAAAAAAAATGATCATTATAAGAGCCATTCTATAGGAAAAGGGAGGATTTAGAGTTGGATAATGAATTACGAAAGGACATGAGAAGGTAATAAATGTGAGAGAGTAATGCAAATGGAAAGTACTCTCCAAGCCGTCCAAATTAGGAATCATTTTTTCAGTAATAAGTTGAAGATCGCAGAAGGAGAGAGGGTTGTGAACTGGAATACTTCCCTCAGCGCCGACGTCACTGTGGAGCCGCGGGGCAACGTGAATTCCACAACACAAGTGATGTTTTGCTTTTGTGCCGGCTTGAGGAAAAATTTGCGCGCATCCCTATCACGGATGCCGCTCCTGGCTATCATGTTTTTTGAGGTCGCCTCCATCAATGGGGATCTAACCCGATAGATCCCATCTTGATCCTGATACATTCTCTCTTTTAAGGACTCACCATAAGGGCCGCCCTCAACCCAATCCCATCCACGCTGGGCGTCGAATATATAAGCACCCATATTTCTCGGCCTTGCAACGAAGTGTCGATAGGAAGCCATCGAGGCAGTTTTCATGCAGTCAAGACCCTCAATTTCCAATTCGCGTGCCAATGGCCGAAAAATCTCCCCGATCGCATTCTCCGGGAGCACCGGAAGTGAATCGACCTGTTGTCCCCAAAGAGGAAGTACAACCTGCGAGATACTGCACGAATCCGCCTCCGCTTGGGTGCGAACAACCCTGAGTCGTCGATACCACTGTTGTAGCTCAGTCTCTGCTTCAACCCCATCGTCCACACCGCGATCCCCATTTCCATCGCGACGATCGTGCGAGGCAAAGTCAACCCAGTCCGGGTGTAGGTAAGGGGAGAGAATGTCGGCATTGATATGATCGGCCGCCCCTTCATAAACGTCCCCACGGAAGGTGGAAAGGCCCCAACGTTGCGAATCGGAAGGCGCCTGTCCCTTCGTGGAGTTACTCCCTGTACCGTTCACACGGTCCCCAGCTTCGCCGCGATCATCATCGGGCTGAACGACAATATCCCCCACGGCGACGCGATCCCCGAAGCGCTCTCGCCGCAGCGATGCCAAGGCGTTAAAATGGACCTCCGAGACCGTTCGCATGGTTTCGTGCAGAAAAGCACGGCTCAAGGACTCGCGAATGACCTGCGCGGAGTCGTTATGCCGCGGCGCGACATCCGCCGCGCGCATGACGAAGTCCCCTAGCAGATCGTGGTGAGGGGCGTAAAGCCCGGTTCGCGGGAGCCGCATCGTCTCGCGGTCCTGGCGCAGCCCCGTGTGGATGCCGTCCGAGACCCCGCGCCACTCCCGTGGCGTCGCGCGGGGGTTGGCGAGGGCGTCGAGCAGCGCGGGCATCTCCCGCCGGACGCCCGGGGTGCCCTCGGCGAGGCCCCGGACGTAGCACTGGAGGAAACCGACGTAATCCCGCTCCAGCAGGCACCGCGCGGCGTGGTAGGTCTGGCGCGTGCCAAGGCCGTGCCGGGCCAGGTGGCCGTAGTTCGTGAACCCCCCTTGGGCCAGCCCCCGCAGCCCCGGCAGGACGTCCTGCAGGCACCCGCGCAGGTCGCGCAGGACGACGGTGTAGCGGAGGTCCGGCAGCAGCCGCAAAGGAAAGGACCCCGCCGTGGCCGGGACGGGGACAGGGAAGGCCGCGGCGAGCCGGACTTCCCCGGCGGGGGTGTGGAGGAGCTGCGGGGCGGCAAAGCCCCGGCGAAGCCCCGCGCCGTCGCCGCGGAGCCAAACGTGACGAACCGCACAGGCCCCGAAGTCGAGCGGGCTGAGGAAGTGAAACGAGACGCCGCGGGGGCAGCGACGGCGGATCAGGCCCGCGATGACCGCGTCGGGCACCCCTTCGCTCAAGACCTTCACCAGAAGCGTCCCGCGCCCATCCGCGTCAGGGGACGGCGAGGAGGATGCCAAGCCGGTATCCGTCTGAGAGTCCATCCACGTGAATGTCTCCTGCACGATAAAATCATCCAAGGACCATTTCATGAGCGCCATGGGGCGTGGATCCCGCTCATAGTCAGTAGTAGAGCGCAGAGTGGTAATCCCGATGGACTTCTCCACTTGGCGTGAACCAAGGCTATGATTGCGGGTAGCCCTGTAATTCACTTGATCTTTGCCCATTGTTTCGTTTTTGAAGCTCTATCACTTGACACAATACAGAAAAAAATCAATCGGTAGAAGACCTCCTTTTTTTCAGTTCTGTCGTTGGTGAAGGCTTTTCTTTATTTTAAGATGGTCTTTCCATGAAGGGTAGCATGAAAAAGGGGGAGAAAAGCGAAGAGCGCAGACTATTTTTTTTTCATATAGGAAAATAATGAAAAATACAAAATTCACCGGAAAAACTAAGGAAAGGCAGAAAAAGCCAAATGCGATTGATAGACGTTTCAAATCATTTTCTCCAGAGCTCTTTGACCTTCTTTGTTCAGCATTTTTAATTGCGTTTGTGTCTGTTAGCCGTAGTAGTAGAGCGCAACCCCAACCTAAACATCCAAAAAGTGAGAGGGAAGGAGGAGGGCACCATACCTTTTTCCACAATAACAACGGCTAGTCTTCAGTCATCTCACTTCGTGTCCGTCAGCGTATTTGACGTGGACGCGAACTGCTCCCGTCGCCAGGCAGGCATGCATTTCCGCGCATAGCCGCCATTGGGGGCCATCATCATGTAGGGTCGATTAATCCAACAACAGAACATGACGACGGTGGCGAGCCCGGCCTGGCCCATGCCGATCCCGCAGACCCAGTAGGACCACCCCATCCCGGAAACCAGCTCCCGTACGCTGCCGCTGCTGCGCAGGACCCGCAGGTCGAGGTAGTCAGACGGGATGGGATAGCGATGGTAAATCCGGCGCCCGGCCGCGGTTAAGGGAAGGAGCCGGCGCCAGACAAGGGTCCCCACGCCCACGGCGGCCCCCCATATCAGGCTGTTCAGGAAGATCGCCTTGGCCCAGGCCTGCCCCCACGAGTTCCGCCTCCCGCTCCACATCGCCTCGGAGAGGAAGTAGTGCATCGAGTCGCCGACGAGGAAGCCGGGGAAGGCCAGCCAGGCCGTCTGACGGAGCGCGCCGATGAAGTTGTAGTAAATCCGATTCTCCGTGCGAATGGAGATGGCGGTGAGGAAGGCGGACAAGATGAAGGTGGAAAGGTAGGTAATGAAGGAGCCATGGGCCATGCAGCAGAAATTGCAGCGCTTTTCCACCGCCTGCGGCCTGGGGATGGCGGTGGGGGGGGTGAAAGGTGATCGCCTATCTCGATAAGTTTTTTGGGGTCGACTTTTTTCGGCGACACAATGGAGATCTTGCTCGGATCGAGGGCCATTTAGGGTTTTGCTGCTTCTTTTTGATTTATAGTTTCCTTCTTTTATGGCTAGTTAACATTCAATTAAGAGGTCGAGTATCCTGTCGTTGGGAAAAATACCCAACATAACCAAAATAAAATGCTAGACCAAAGATGCAGACTAAACAATTCCAACAAGGTAGGGAATAATATTAAAAAGGGATGTAGTTTGAGCAAAAGGGACATACTTTCCCTCCTCCACTATAGTATGAAACCCTTTAATAGAATATGGTGGATATTACGGTAAAAATAGGTGTTTAATCTATAAAGTACAAAAGGGGTAAATGTCGCGTAAAATGCGGCTCTATATGCTTTGTGATAATTTTATTGTAGTAAAAAAAAGTATCTAGAAGAAACCAGTGCGAATAAAATCAAAAGAAACGAAGCTGCCGTCTAGAACTAATTATTCAGGAGCGTAGAGGTCCATTTAATCGAGTATAAATAGATGGACCCTTAAATACTCTTGCAGCTGAAACAATAACCCCCCAGGCTAAGTGCCATTATTTTCGTTTGGCACTCCCAAACACCACGACGCGCTGCGTGGCGGTGTGATCAAAGCTATTAAGACGGCGTATCATCGTGAGGTCGTCCACCGAGAGGTTGATATGCTGAATCGACTGAGAATTGCCGCTCGGCGTCGGGTTTATCTTTCGCGCGGCGGGAAAACTCGCCAAGCCGGAGGTCCCACCGGCGAGCGAGTCGGCGGATCGCTCCACGTGCCCTTCCGCCGCCGCAAAACCGCTCGTCGACAGGCCCGTCAATCCGTCAGGGAAGGCATGCAAAATCGTATCTTTCGCCAATTGCGCCGGTAAGACGGCGGGATGGGATCGGGGAGGGTCCGTGGAAAGTTTTTTCTTCGCCTTGCAGCGCTCATCCTGCTCCACCAAGCGCTGCCCCTTTATTTCCCGATGTTTGAGCCTCCAGATTTCGTGCCGGCGCGTAATAGCGCGCGCGATTGCCACTTGTGAGGACTCGTCGTCGTCGTCGTCGTTGCCTTCGGTCGTTTTACTTGGATTTCCCGATGATGCGCCCCGACCCCCGAGGTAGGATGGCAGGCGGGAGGCGGCTAAATAGTCCCCGGATGTCCTTTCCTCAGGGCTCATCAGCGTGCCCTCGGCCGAGTTGCTCGGATAACTATCCGAAAGGGGGTGGGGGCGTTGCGGGCATTCGGCGTCGTCGTTCGCGCCGATGATGAGCTCCTCGTCGAGGTCCGAAAAGTTTCGCGGAGAGGACGGTTTCAGAGCCCCGCCAGGACCGGCCCAGGAGGTGGAGAGGCAGGAGTCTTCGAGAATCGCGCCGAGGCTGTTGGGGGGGTTTGGGAGGCCCTTGAGGATGCTTTTGGGCCTCTGCGAGCGCTGGGAATAGGTGAGTTCAAGAGGCAGCAGCCGCTCCACGTTTTGTCGTTTTTGCATCTGCGCGGTGGCGATAAAACGGCTGGTGATGCTGTCCGCGATGGTAGGGGACCACGACGAGAGCGCCGTGGGCGACGTCGAGCCCAGGGAGGCCGGATTACTGCCGATGGATCCGTCCAAGTTGAGCACCCCACCCTGCGAGCCGTTTTCGACGGCGATATTCAGCTCAAGATGGGCGGCGCTTCCCAAGCTGAGGCTGTCCGCCATAAATTTGGAATCCCCTTTGCTGTTTTCCCACTCACCGGGGCTCTCGGCGGAGCTGCTTCCCCCAACCCCATCCTCGTTAGGGGCTAGCGAGGTGAAGGAACGCAGCATGATATCTTTCATACTGACGTGCTTTGCCTCTTTAAGAAGCACCCGCTTAGAGAGTCGAAACGCGTTGATTTCTTCGTCCTCCACTCTGTGCGCGGTGGTGCAGTTGGTCGAGGCCCGTACGCGCTTCCGTGGCGGCTTTGAAGTATCCGTGGGTAGGTGAGGATCACAGGTTGTGTCCTTCTTTTCCTTGGAGCTATTGCGTCGACGCTTCTTTGAATTGAGGACTTTTTCGTCATCCGTTTTACTCGAATATTCACTCACAATTTTGTCGGTGAGTATATCTGGCGTCTCGTGGTGGCTTTTGTCCAAGAAGGAGTCTAAGCTATTGAGGAGATTGCAGCATGCAAGATCGTCGTTCAGATCGTAAGCGATGCCCAACGCCACCTGCGATGCCGATTTCTCTATTCCCACTGAAGGGTGGATTCCTTCCACAGAACGCTCTGTCGTTTTGACCACGTTGTCAAAGCTGGTTTCCTCTAATAGAAAGATTCCATCGTCACCTTGAGGCTGCTGGAATCTCGCGCATGTGTCATCTTCATCCTGAAGGCATATCGTGTGATCCTTAAAATTCATGGTTTCCTCTAAATCTGATTTTGAATAGACATGGCTTGACAGGTCACAGAAGTCCTTACTAGAAGTAATTTCTCCAAGAAGTGTAGGCTGAGAGCCAATGCATATTCCTTCTCCGTTCTCCATTATGGTATCGCTAAGAAATTAGTATTTCGGATAATACTTCTATTTTATGAGTGAATGAATTAAAATATATTCTAATTTATCTATTCTTAGTTATTTTAATTGCTAGTATTAAACAAACTGCTTATTAATTTTAGATAAAATTAAACGCAAAATCCCTTTCGCGAGTTCAAGAAGAATAAAGATAGAAGGTGAAGTTTACTGCATCAAATATTTTCCCCATCTATAGAGTCACAGCAGGTCTGTTTATATAAATATATAAATATAGTTGTCCTTAAAAGTGATAGGAAACTTCCAATGAGAAAGATAATTTTGTACCTACGGGTGAACCTTGCATAAATAGTCGCACTACTGATCAAAATAAAAGAACCAATGAAAATTAGCCTTACCGAGTGCTATCGTCGTCTTCAAGAGCTTGGGGACAGACATCTTCGTGAGAATGGGCCACTCACGGCCGCTTTCAGCTTCCCCCATTCGATCTGTCCTCTTCGGGTATCGTTTTTTAAAATGGAGTTTATAGCATCTGCTCGACTTCAGCGTGCCCCGCCACGCGCGCGCATTCCTTAGGCGTCATGCTGGCAACGTTTTTACTATTTTTAGAGGCGCCCGACGAGAGCAAAACCTCCACCAAAGCCCCATACCCTTTAAGGCTGGCGAGGTGGAGGGGGGTGCGTTTATTTTCATCCCGAGCGTTCACGTTCGCGCCCTCGTCCAAAAGCAGCCTCGCGAACTCGAGGTGCCCCTGGTCGACGGCGTAGTGCAGGGCCGTCCACCCGCCCTTATCGGGGGCGTCGAGGCTGGCGGAGTCATCCGGCAGGGCCGCGAGGATCGCGCGCGCGATGTCGAGATTCCCCGCGTGCGCGCTGTGGTGGAGCATCGTCATCTGCAGCCCATCCCCCTCCGTCAGGCAGCCGCCTTTGGCGATGTAGGTCAGCACGGCCGCCGTTCCCTCAGGGCTACGGCAGCTGTCGTAAATAGAGGGCCGGGGGGGCATCGCCGCGTTCGTCTTTTGCGAGGTTGGAGGCCTGGAAAGGACCGGTTGAGGTCGCGCAGCCGAAATGGGGATCGGCGGAGAAAGTACAGAACACAACCGTGATCCAATGCGAAGTGACCAATACGTCTCCTCGCTCTCTCTTGATATCTCTTTATTTATTTATTTATTTAAAAGAACTGACGCATAAATGAATAAAGATCGTAAAATGAAGAAAGACAGAGAGGTACTGTAGGCAAAAGACTCATCATATCTAACCTAACGGTAAGGTTCACACGCAATCGGAAGGATTCAAAACATGGAAAAGTCTAAACAAAAAGCAGTGAATTATACACACCTCTTTTACTGCTTTCAATTGTAAGTGCGCAATCTGATGGTAAAACCAAAGAGAAGGTTTGACTCACCCTGGCGGATTTTATAGCGTAATTTCTGAAGAACCCCAGTCCTATATATTTCTTAATGTATAGATTTCAATAAAAGCAAAATGAACAACGCCCTCTCATCTGCTGTTGATTTATAAAAGTGGATCAAGTTTTTTCAAAAAGGATATTTTCTTATAAAAGTGTGATTCGATAAAGGAAAATAATGAAGCTGAAAGGTGCTATTTTGAATCAGCATATTGGAATAGAAAATTAAGGACATCTAATATACGGGTTGCTAAATTACTCGAGTAATTCCGGTGTTTAGCCTTACCCTCAAAGACTTCCTATTTACCTAACAAACCCTGATTCATACCTTCAACTACTTGAGGATACACTTTTATTTTTTATTTTAAAAAAGAGAGTCGCGTGCAAATCACTTCTTTTGAGGTTCAGTCTTTTTATACGATCCTGGCGCGCTGGGATCCGTACTTGCCTGCTGGATGAGCTCATCGATTGACTTCTCCAGGCCCACCACCCGTCCGTCCATCTCGTCGATACGGCCGACAATTTGCTTTGACATATCCTCGAAGCTGGATTGCATGCGCTGGAGTAATTCCTGCATATACATCGTCAGCTCAGTGGAATCTCCTTGTGGTTGGGTCGCGCCGATCGACGAACCCCCGCCGCCGGGGGACGAGGGCTTTTTGCTGAGTTTGTTATAACCAAACCCATTGGAGGAGCTATCCGACGCAGGCTTGATTTTGGGAGGCATTTATAAGTTGAAAACGAATCGCGGTGGCGATTTTATTTGGGTTGCAATAAATAAAAAAAAGATAAGACTTTGTTCCCCCGAAGGTTATCTTTTGAAAATAATATCAAGAACGATGTTAGGGTATCAAAATCTCCGATACCGATATCTTTAACAGAATGCGCAGAAATAAATATTCTAGCGAGAAAGAAACAAAAGCATAAAAATGAAGCCATAGCATTTTTGTAAAATATTTGGCGAGTCCATCATCATGCGCCAACGTCTTTACATTCATTTCGAAGGGTTTTAAAGCCAAAAATACGAAAATGAAAATGTATAAAACCATTATCTAGACAAAAAAAGGCTTCCCCTTCAAAATGAAAACTTAACAAGTAGGGAGTAAACATTCAATAGAGTGCACAAAGAGAACAATATCCCCTGATAAATTATTACAAAACTATAAGTGTTCCTTTAAACCCGACATAGAACAGTTAGACTATCGAAAAGAAATAGAATGTCTAATCCAAATGTCATCTGTTTCCTATCCGTACACCTTTTTTTTTTCACCATGCAAGTTTTTGCGTTCATTGAAAATGCTTTATATAGCCGTCGTGTATGTTGTGAATGTATATCAAAAAGTACAATAGTGATAGCAGCGTATCTGGCGTCTAGCGTTAGAAGCTAACGGTGTAGAGAGAAAGAAAGAACGCAGTGACTTTGTATATTATTTTTCACGTCTTAAGTTGCTCCAAGCCCTTAAAGGGGACCCTTGAGCGAATTAACCATAGGGCTTTTCCCGTAGCCCTTTCGTTAGTTTACAATATTTTCTGAAAACCGCCATCTAATAAATAAAATATTCTCTAAATAAAAATACACATAGTGTTCCCTTTACCGTACCGAGAAGAGTATATCCCAAATTCATGCACTAAAAACGTGCAGAGACAAATAGTATTCTTTTAAATATAACATAGAAAAACCTTTTACCCAAACAAACAACAACCAAAAGCGAAACAAAATCACGATGAATTTTCAACAATGAATTTAGGGAAAAAAAACAAAAGGAAAAGAGTTCCAAACAAGGAATCGTACACACCTCAGCTGCTGCTGTTTGGGAATGTTAATCACCCCTGGATGCGCCGGAGGCCTTGATTTTCCCTCTCCTTTACCAACTCCCTATCTATTCTTATGCATGGATAGTCCGTTCGCTTCCTCTTCCGGAACAATGCGGATGCGGGACGAGACTTTCATCGTCACCGCGAAACGCAAGCGCCGCGCTCGACCAATGGAGATCATCTTTGTAAAATTCTTCAGTTTGTACTCGACGAACCCCTTGTCCATATCCACCAGGATTGAAATGAAGTCCCCGTTATCGATCTTTTCCAGATTTTCCTCCTTGCGGTGGTAGGGAAAATTGGAGTAAAAGACGCCGGACATGTAGTACACGCAGCTGTTCGAGGTTTTGTGAAATTCCTGGTCCTTGCTCACGCAGGAGTCCGAGATGAGCCCGACCCCGACGTAGTCCGCGGTGAGGACCTCGTAGGTGATGCGGTGGCGGCCCGTGACCAACACGGCGTCGCCCACGACCGCGACGCCGTACATCACGCGCAGGCGATTCTGCTCCGGGCTGACCCCAGGGCCGGGCTGGAATTGCCCCTGCGGGGCGAGTTCCGCCTGCTCGAGCAGCCATCGCAGGCCCACGAGGCCGTAATAGCGGGCGTCGGTCTTGAGCCGCCGCAGGGCGTCCTCCTCGAGCATCTGGAAGTGGCGGTACCCTCGCAGGTAGTTCAGGACGTGCCGGAAGGTCTCGGGGTCGCGGTCGAGGAAGATGGCGCCGGTGG